TCTTCGGGCTTGATCAGCCCCTGCGGTCAAGCTGGTCAGACTTTTGTGTCAAAGGCTATAGACAGGACCCTTGAACTCCTCGCTCCCGCTGTCTTGTGGGTCAAACTTGGGTGCAAGGCCCGAGATGGGCCTGCGCAACCGGAAACATCATTTGCTTTCATACCTGTATGTTCACTGATGCCCCCCACCTCCCCGTCCGGGAAGCTCAAGTCGGGGACCATTTGATTTGACATTCCGACCTGATCCAACCCACTGGTAATTAAGATTGAATAAAACAGCACAAACGCGGATAGCAGGACAGGGACCCTTTCATAAAATCATCCTAGAAGTAGCGACCAAGGGCTGCGGTTCTAAGATCACTGGCCAACTAGAGAATAGCCTTGCTGATCGACTCGAGCTTGTCAGACATGAGAGTAGAAATTTCAGATACATCACTGCCCTCTTGTGAGGGTTAGACAATCCATCCCAAAATTACTGGTGACATATATCAAGGTACGAATGATGGGAAACCGAGAGCGGTGACTAAATGGGAGCAAAAACTTAGATAATATGTAGTTAAGGAGACACATACGTACCATCAGTATAATTGGTGTTTGTAGTCACCGGCAAGAGTTGGACGGATAGAACCAGTGGGGAAAAAGTGGCAAACTGACTTAATGTTCCTCAAGCCACGAGGGCTTCATTATATGCAGGAGAAACTTGTGTGAGCAGGTCGGTTATTCACATTCTGCCTTGGTTTTGAGCTTGAGTTGAAGGCTGGCACCCCGACCCAGAAGCTCTAAGCGGTGAACTACATAGGACTCCTTTACATTGAACAGTGCTGCCCTCCCGGACGGGAGCATGAATTGTCTACTATTTGCTGACTATGTGAGCGCTGTAGGATATTAATCTGCATTATCCCTGGGAGTTGATTAACTTGCCTGCCGTGGACAGATTAGTCTTTCCGAAACACCCGATGCACCACACGGCCAGTGCTCACCACCAGATTCCAACAGATCTGGACGGTATTTTGGTGACTCTGATGTCTAACCCCGTATACTTGACAACATCTCCGGCTCATAAAGCAGAATGGGAGGTTCTGTAGCGTCCTGGACTCTTGTTGACGGACAGTGGGTGATATCGGGACGGTGTCTCCCTTTCCGGAGAATTATTTCATTTTTTGCCAGTCGTCCGGAGCGTTTGCCCCTCCGCTAATAGATTAATTTGGCCGCCACGTCGGTCGGCTATCTGCAGTCATCATCGACAGCATGACATCAGGTTATCTGCAGGCATGAAATCATTGGATTGAACCCACACCCTCTTGTCTATATCAAATCGTGTGACCGAATTAATTTGTTTGGAACAGTCTGTATTTCGGATGGGTCCGATTCCAACGATTCACAATTATCAGCCTGTGAGTGAATATCACGCAGCTGTTTCGACCCCAAGGTGTCAGATGCAGGCAAAGACCAAATTCCCAAGTTCAGGTATTCCATAGTTGTGTGGATATTATGGACACTAATGTAGTACTGGCTGATCACTATAACTGCATGGCGAGCTTGTTGCTTCGTGGCGCTTTTCTCTTTTCAGATGCCTTTTCAGAATTTGGCCTTTGATTGTGCAGTCCTTGACACCCCTCCCTCGTCCCGCTTGCGCATATTTTTCAGATCTTACTTCACCGCCTCACTGTATGCGAAACTAGTGGAACCTGAGGAAAGACTTTGTCGGGTCGAGATCCTCTCCTTTTACAATCACGTCGTGAAGAAGGTTTGGCTTCAACAGGCTCGAATTGGCATCTCATTGTACGATGTCACCGGAGAAGGGTATCTTCGTGAAATGGATCTGGAGAATTATATCCTCGAACTCCTTCCTTCACTGTGTCAAGTGGGTTCTAGTGAAAATTTTCCCCCGGGGTCGTTCGGTGTTTTTTGTCTCTTTGAATGATTTTCATGCCATTGGTTTATTTCGCCATGCATACGGCCATATTTTGTTTATGTTTAACTTTATCCAGTGGATAATTTTTCCTTTTAGCAGAAATAACCAGAATGGTTCTTCATATGGATTCCAGGGTTTTGTTGCTCGAAGTAGTTCAGTGGTTAAGGCGCAAATTTACTGACCGGAAGATCCGTGGTTCGAACCCACTCCCAGTCTTTCGATTGCCCCTGTCTAGGTTTGGCCAACCCGGCTGTATATCAGCTATCGAACTTCCTTCATTGCAGCTAGGCACCGAGTGTGTTGCAGCTGGCCGACTTTGAAAAAACATGCAAAAGACAAAGTGCATCGGCTGAAGAATCTGTATCGGCATGGCCGACTAAAGCAATCAAATGCAATCGGTTCCGAAACGTTCGAGATAGTTATCGGAGCCACTGGCTAGCAAGTAAACCTTATCAGGATAAGATGGCTGGACCGACCATACACATGCTCAACCATCGTCCGCCGGCGAAACCATGGTTTTCCACTTCACACCACACCCTTGCTGCCTAATGGTTCGGGATCATGATATGGGGACGCGAAACAAAAGCGTCTGCTGTCAAGTTTTTTTTCTGGCGCAGAATCTCCACACCTTGCTATCTGACTGACTGACTCTCCTTGCATTGTGTGGATCTGGTACCAGAACATTTCATTTCTTAGTCAAGGATGAGCGAAAATGATCAAAAAGCAGTGTAGATTGGGGTTGGGGGGGGGTGGTTGTCACTGTTCATTTGCGTTTGCCTTCAGTAACCCTGTCGTCCATCCATATTTTGTCAACACAGCTCTCCCAGTTGGAACCGTCGTTTCACGTGTTCTACGTGTGCACAGCCGTTCGCAAATTCTTCTTCTTCCTGGATCCACTGCGTGTGGGCCGTGTTCGCATCACTGACATTGCCTTCAGTAACCCTGTCGTCCATCCATATTTTGTCAACACAGCTCTCCCAGTTGGAACCGTCGTTTCACGTGTTCTACGTGTGCACAGCCGTTCGCAAATTCTTCTTCTTCCTGGATCCACTGCGTGTGGTGTTCGTTCGCATCACTGACATTTTGGCCAGCACCTACCTGGACTCGTTGTTGGAGTTGCGTGAGTCGCAGACCACCGAAGCACAACTGGCCAGCAATTGGTTCAGCCATCAGTCGGCGATGCGCGTCTACGGGAGTTATTTACAGCTGGATGAAGATCGGAACGGGATGCTCACTCGTGCTGAGCTATCCAGGTGCGTATACTTTTCTGTGAGCACTACCGGTATAACGGTGATACTACTGATAGGGAGGCACGTGAGTAGTATGTTTTGTTCTTGTAAATTCGCTTTGCGTCTGTTGGAAAAGGGAGATCTGTTGCGGAAGTTGTGGAGTCGCTTTGTAGCGTTTGCTTGGACTTGAGCAATGAATGACTGGAGTCAATGAATATCCAGGAAAGTTCAAGAAGACGCGTTCAGGAGAAAATGGATGTCCAGTTGTTGTAAATAGGATGCAAATGAGACTTTTGCTTCCCTGTCCAATAGTCTGTAACTGGTCGGTTGACATTTCCCAATAAATAACTCCGCAGCGAAGGCCTTTTTCCTTTCACCAGTAGGTCTCCGTCTTAATGGACCTATTTTACAAGATTGTATTATCGGTGTACCTTACTACTGATGACACTCCCATCTGTTTTGCTGACAAGCATGCCCTTCACATCCAACTGGTGCGGGGTCGGTGCATGATATGACCATAACTTGGTTACAGTCCATTCGAGATTGATTCCTTCTGTGTAATTAATATCTGCTCATGGATTTTTATTTCATAATTTGGAATGTTACTCAACTACGGTGGCTCATACGAAGAGCGGATCTTATGTTGAAGGGTGTTTCTAGAACTCTCCTCTCCACCCCCCCCCCGTGGTGTGTGTTTTTTTCAAGGCCAGTACGAAGTGCTCTTGTTAACCAACTATCTTCATAAAGGTCGCTCTTTGGGGGACTACCTAACCAGCTATACACATCCGGTGTTTGGGTCTTAGATGTTACTAATCGTCCACAACCCTCACTTTCCTAGATACGGCAACGGCACTTTGACTGACGTGTTTCTGGATCGCGTGTTCCAAGAGTGCACCACATACGAAAGGGAAATGGTGAGTGTTAGTTCACAATTTTACGATTCCTTTCCGAAGTGTTCCTGAGAACTGCAACTACAACATATCCGGCTAAGTGGAAGAGGTAGTCTGACAAACGGTGGGGTAATTTTCACGGTGGCCATTCTTCTCCAGTGTGGTGGCGAATTCCCGTAGCGATTTGAATAGGGGGCGAGATGGCCCAAGTGGTTAGAGCGCGAATTTACTGACCGGAAGGTCCGTGGTTGGAGCCCGACCTCTGCCTCTCAACTTCCCCTGTCTAGGCTTGGGCGACCTGGCAGTATCCCAGCCCTCGTACCTCCTTCGGGTGGCATGGCAGTTAGGCACCGGAAGGGTGCTAAAGCTGAATGTTCTTCTTCTCCCACTTTTGAGGTTTTATGTGACACCTTAAACAAGACAGCTATTTCCTAGGTCTGTATTAAGCATTTTGGAAGGCGATCCATTCTCTATGAGTTGGCGACCGTTGATTCTTTGAGTGGTCTGCGCAAAGTTGCATCGCTTCAGAACCCAACACCTAGTAAGTTTTTGGTCTCTTCGGCGATCCATTGCCAAAGCCTCCTCGGCAGAGTTGATCTTTTCCGAACCTCTCTGTTCCTAAGACTTGTTTGTGTGTATTCTAAGCGTCCAATCGTTCTAATCAACACAAAATGGCAACGTGGTTGAAATTGATACACAAAATTCAAAATGTACGCGCTGTAACTCCGGAAGCACTTTAGTTCAGTTCAGGTTATCCGCCATAAACCTTGTACCACGAATACATTGGTTCCACCGGAAGTACTTAATTCCACTGTTTTGGTCAGAAGACCCTTCGAGTGTAACATATGCCTATCCAAAGGGCATTAGATCAGTATAACACCTTTGCAATGGCGAAACGCTCCTGCTGTAACACCCTAACTTCCATTCCAACCGAAGGAAGTACGAGGGCCGGGGTACTGCCAGGTTGCCCGTGCCTAGACAGGGGAAATCGAGAGGCAGAGGTCGGGTTCGAACCACTGACCTTCCGGTCAGTAAAATTGTGCTCTAAACACTGAGCCATCTCGCGCAAATGGGTGTTGAACAAGTTTGAATCAACAACACAACCCTACGTCACTCCTGTATCCATTTCGGTTCAACAAATTAGTGCAGAGGCACGTTTAAGGAAATGGCGTATTTCACGGAGCACGGATGTTCACATAGCGGTGTGTATTCTACACTCATTTTTGCGAACAAATCTGGTTTTGCGCGAGACTCACCTGGAACCCAGCTGGATCTCTCATTTATTATGTTCTCAAACAACACATTCAGTTTCTTGAAAAGATCATAAACGAGAGATTCAGTTGGGTTCCAGGTGAGTATCGCGCAGAACCAAATTTGTTCGTGTTTCGCTAATTTGTGCAATTTGCCATTCAAGCAGAACATGAGGTTGACGGAAACTCGGGGACTGTGCCTATCTGATGAGCCCCAAGAAGAGCGGAATCGACCGTGGGCTGTCGAAGAATTTTCAGCATCCTTATGGGTGGTGTATTACGTCGTTATTGATCAATTGGAAAAGTTTGGAACCGTTTGAGAAGTCATTGTTTCAGAAGAGCTTGGTAAACAATCGGTAGTTTTAATTTGGGCAACGTTTTGCTTTTGACACAAAAGCTTCATCAGGCCAAGTGAACAGGTCACCAAATTGGCCAGGTTATAAGACAGACAGGGAACCAATCAGTAAGTCCTCTACAAACTAGGTCAGTGTTGAGTGTCGATTAACGGCTCTTGTCGGCTAGTGTGGATGCCAAAATCTTGAATTGATGGGTTGGAGGGTTCCAAATTAGTTCCCGATCGCTTTTCGTTCCTTCATCTTCCACTTCAGGGTGCTTCACTTGATGGTTCTTTGCTTCAACGGGTTTCTGTGTAAGGTGTAACAGTGGATTTCGAAAACAATGCTTGCGAGCTTAATGTTTACCCCTTCTCCACCCGCACAGGACTACAAATCCTACTTGGACTTTGTTTTGGCAATGGAGGACAAATACGAGCCTCAGGCGCTTGCCTACTTGTTCCGCATCCTCGATGTGGGCGGTCGTGGTCGACTGACTCCGCTGACGATCAAATACTTCTACGACTCGTTGGAAGAGAGGCTCCGTAGCTCGGGCTACACTCCACCCACATTCAACGATATTCTCAATGAGATATTTGACATGGTCAAGCCGGCCGATCCGAACTATATCACGTTGGATGACTTATTACGCAGGTTCGTTATTTGTCGTGATAATAAGTTATGGCTCACTTTCCTTTACCAAGGTTTTCAGGTGCGAACAGAGCCCCATCAACCAAACTTTTCGGAAGCGGGCCAGAGTTTCACCACGGGTTGGAAATATGGAGTGCTAACTCTCACCTCTGCGTTGGCTCAGCGTGAAATGACCGACCGGAAGGTCCGTGGTTCGAACCCGACTCCCCCTATCTAGGAAGCTTGGCAGAAACCCAGTCTTCGTGCTTCCTTTTGGTGGCACGGCAGTCGGTCACCGAAAGGATGCTACAGCTGAACCATTTTGTCACCTCTATGGAGGTTTTTAATTATAGGTAGTCCACTCCCCAAAGACAGGACTCCACGGAAAGACCTTTCAAGTCTTCGAAGCACTCCTGCTCGGGTTGTCGCTGTGTGTTCAGTTTCCCATGAATTATCAGTGTGCCCGTGTTAAGTTCACCTCGCCTCCATAGTAGACACAGCTGTGAAAAAGTATTTGTTGAGTTCTGAAGTTACGCATCAGAGATGTTGACTTTTTAGGGGTTTCTCAAACGCCGCCTTCGTCGTTGCGCTGTGTAATGCTTTCGAAGAGGGGATATCAAGCAGGAAAGAATTTTCTGGCCTATGCTGCAGATGAGATTAAATTGCGGCTAAAGTGGAACGTTACTGAAAGCGTCCCGTCCTTCAGAGGTTACTGGGACACGCCCATGTCAAATCATAACGCGAAGTCTCTGAATATACCCCTTACAATTCAAGGAGAATCACTGTGGGTTGTGGAGAATTTCACGTACCCCAATAGTTGTATTAACTCTGATGTAAATGTGTCTGATGAGGTCAGTGCCATATTCTCAAAGGCTCGAATCATGTTTGCTAATCCGCGTCGCTTAGGGCGTCAAAAAGGCATGTCACTGGATCTCAAAGGTCGTGTGTACCAGGCTACAGTAAGGGCTGTATTGCTGTTGAGAGGCGTGGCCTCTGCGGACAGTTAGTGTGAGGCCTCTTCAGGTTCTTCACCACCGATGCCTTAGAAGCGTTGCTGGTTTTGGATGGCCTCGACGGATTAGTAACGAGGTGATTGGAAAACGGGTATTTGGTTGTGCAGTAAGTAATCAGTCGTGGAAAACACCCTGTACTATCGAATAAGATGGCTCGGTCATGTGGTGTGCATGTCAAAACACCGTCTACCAAGACGAGTGTTGTTCTCGTGCCTCCTTCAGAATGGCACGAACCGCGAGGTGGACAACGCTTGACTTGGCAGAAAGGCGTGAAAGATATCACGAAGAGTCTTGGTGTTGTCGGTGCTGTCCACTTCATACAATGGGATCCCTGTGAGCCTCTTGCGCTTGGTTGGAGACATTGTAAGAAACGGCGTCCAGTTGAATTCAGTGGCGGTTTCCAGGTCGTCTGATCGAACGCTTGGAGTTCTAGGTACTTCACAATGCTTGAGATAGATCAGTATCAGGTCCTTCCCTCATCCACTCGCTTCTTTTCACTCCAAGGCTTTTAATGTAATGAGGTAAACTTTGTGGTTGTACGGCACTGAAGCATGAAAGTCAACACTGATGATGATGATGACGCTGCTAATGATTGATTGTGATCAGGTTTACATGGGTATTGTCCCCACGACCGTGTGAGTAGCGATGAGTACGATGAAAAACACGTTGCAGCACCTTTGACTGGAGTGACGGGCTTGATTTCTTTCGACCGCTAGATGAGTACGATGAAAAACACATTGCTACACCTTTGAGTGGAGTGACGGGCTTGATTTCTTTCGACCGCTACGGGAGTTTACAGTGAAGGGACAACGAGAATGTAGGATATTCTCTGGCCTCTGGAAGCTCCGAAGCACGCTACTTGAAAAATAACAAGCCGCTGATGCACCGGGTCTGTTGGAAAGATGCACAAATCACATTTTCCTCACTCACCGTTTCATTGGGATTTAATTAGTCACGCTGAAACGTGGCTCACCGGCTGTGTTGGTTAGTGTAGCAGAGTGGTTAGGCATGTGTCTGTCTAACCATACAACAATTGGCTTCACGACAGCTCTTCAAACATGTTTATAAAATCGATTTTCCGAAAAAACTTCCACGCCGGAAATTTAAAACCGCGTGTGCAGTGACTCTAGTTTCGTTAGCTACCATTTGATGGCAGGCTCCTTTCGTAATATCAACTCTGGTGTTGCTGTCAACATGGGTTACCAGTAAGAGGAAGAACACCCTTCACCGCCGAGTGGTTTACTGACCATCGGGAACTAACCGGCCACAAGGTACTAGGCACGGAAGTAAATATCTCATTTACACAGGGTATTTGAAAAGTAGGCATTCTCAAGTGTCGTCTTGAACTATTGTGTACATTCTCTGAATAGTAAAAAATAGTGAATAATCACTGTAAAACGGTCCCATAATTTCCGTACCAACCTTCCTTCAGATGCAGGACGCCGCTTTGACAACTGACTAGGCACTACTCAAATGTCTAGTCAGTAGTATGCACCATTCCCCTGGTACTGGGCATTTTTAGACGGAGCGTCCGATCAGAGGATGACCGTTGTCCCTAGTTTGTGGTTTGTGGTTTGTGACTCAGTCGTACACTATGTAGCTATGTTTAGCGGTGCTTCTCTGCTTATCTGATCTAACTGCCATCCTGTTCTTATTTCAGCGGTAAAGGGGACACTGTTGTGAGCGTCCTAACCGATCTTCAAGGATTTTGGGCGCATGAGAACCGTGAAATGCTCATGTCCGAACTACCTGACGAAGCAGAACTGTGAAACTTCGCCCTCGCCACTTCCATCTGTGTGTGAACTGCACACAATGCGTATTGTGCAAAATGCGGCAGCAAACGTTTCTGGAGAACGTCTCAGACTGTAACCGAACGTAACGTTGGATGTGCCCTGGAGTGCATTGTTTTTCTATACTTTTGACATTAGATTGCTTTTTCTCACCAAACCTCATCTTTCTTGCAAGTAGCGGTGTAACTCCTCCATACAAGTTCCTGTGCGGCTAATCAGCTGATTCCTAACCGTCAGAATTTCGGGCTGGGTTCGCACCCGAAACGGAACCGAACCTAAAGTGTGAGCTTCTGACTAGAAAGGCTATGACTTGAGTTCTGTTGACCTTTGAGCAGCACCAATGAATTTGTGAGCCTGCACTTTGCACCTTGAATTGAATGATTTGACACTGATCTGCGTGTGTGGACACCTATTTCTCGATGTTCCAGTACAGGCCAGCTCCCAACTAGGTGAAGTGCGTGGAGATCGTGGTGTTTATGACCGATCCGCTCGCACTGGGTACACAAAAGATTTCGCTTCGGACTTTATAGCTGCCATGATGTTGATCATGTGACCGGGTGTTCCTAGCCAATAAGTGATCGCTACTAACAGTTTCGTTCGGCAACAATGTTTTGCATCCGTGGTTGCATATATGAAGACAAAGAATAACTGACCGCAACACGTCTTCTTTCAACTTCGATAGAATCGACAAAAAGAGCTCACTGGTTGTCACTTTGAACATTGACAAAGTCGATGCACCATTCTGCCACATCGGCTGGGTCTTTTCGATTGACTCCCATCTAGTTTTGCTAACGATTTATCTGTAAGATGGAATACGTCCGAGTGAACTGCCCCTCGCATGGATCCCAAATATGGGATTATTCGATCCATTGTCGAATTTTCATNTTTTCCTCAGCTTAGTTCTCGGTCTGAGCCTCCCAAGCTAGCGTTCACGTCAAAACAAACACCAAAGGTGCAAAAGGTCTATTAACGCCCAAAACGAAATCAGGAACAGTTGTACAGTGCTTCGTATATATAGCGTAAGCGGCTATAACTTTCTGGAATTTCTGACGCGTTCTGGAGCTCCATTGGCAACCGGCATTTGGCCAATACTGGGTCCTGATTGGCTGTTGGGTCCAGACTTTCGACCAATCAGATCTCGGCTTGATGCCGGACCGGCAAGCGTTTCGAATTCTTGGTCAATCTTGCGTGGGATGGACTTCTCGGCCGTAGATGAGTGCGAGCGTTGAAGCGGGATCCGTGTGGAATTCAGCCTAACACCGTCACGGTTTATTGGTTGTCCAGCTGGAGGAGTATGTCCAAAAGCAAGGCAGCCTGATGACTAGGAATGCAATGTATGTTTCGTTCATCTTATGTTGAAAACCACGACCTTGGATGTCCATCCTAAACAACGATACCCACCATCGATTGAAAAGCCGGTGATTTGTATGCCAGTAGTGCCGCTGGTATTGTTTAATCTGTCTAGACCAGGCAGGAATTCTGTCAAAGACACGGGGTTAGTTATTCGCGAATACCACCGGGGCGAGATGGTGAGAGCGCGAATTTACTGACCGCAAGGTCCGTGGTTCAAACCCGACCTCTGTCTCTCGACTTCCCCTGTCTAGGCTTGGGCAACGTGGCAGTATCCCAGCCCTCGTGCTTCCTTCTGGTGACATGGCGGCTAGGCACCGAAAGGGTTCTACAGCTGAACGACGAATACCACCGGCTAGAGGACCACATCGGAGTGTCCACGTCGCTAAGAAGAGAATTCTGGATTTACAAGAACCTCTGCGGTGCACGGAATAATACCGGAGTAAGCAAACTGTCGCGCATGGTTGGCCTAACCATGTAGATAGCTAATGGACTTGTTGCCAGACGCTAGAGTCAATCCAGACATTCACTTTTCGCGTCGGAGTTAAACAGCACTGGACGTACCTTTTTGGTAAAACAACGCTGCAACGCCGTCTTAAACAACATCACAGTAATCTAGCTCTAGAGAATTCAGTTTTCTCCAAGCTTAAGACACAAGTTTAGCGGAAGGAGGCACCGATGAGATGTTTATCTCTCCAGTTCATGAAAATATGAACTTTGATTTACCGACAGGCATCCGTGTGTTGCGGAATTCTCGTACGATAAAGTGCCACTCAAAGAATGTGTCCTCTTCAAAAGAGACGCGATTTTTGCCGGTCCAGACGTACGTTCCTTTTGGGGTATCACTATTTTTAACGGCTTGTGACTGTAACCGAGTGACAAAATCGCTTGTTCGCAATGATAGGAACTAACGGCCTGTTGTATTTGTCAGTCACGTTTCAACAAGACTAGTGTGTGCGCTCCAGAAGTGACTTATCCCATATCAGGCCCAAGAAATCTCGAGTGCTTCACAGAATTTTTCTGTAGGAACCACCGTATGATTCGGATCAATCAAACACAGCAGTCGACCCTAAGTTTGCCGCTGGATAGTTGGCTGTTCGCGGCCGTGCGAGATACCAACTTGGCTGCATGGTCAGCTCTGAAGGACAAACAGATGTAAACCGGTTTATTCCCGACTGGTACTAGTTCCCGGATGGACGTTGCCGACTGACTGTATTTTCTCCCCAAACGCGTTGAGTATCGGTTCCGGATGAACATGTGCTCCGGTCGTTTTGGGTTGGCCGTTAGTGTATCATCCGAGCTGACTCATTGCTCTAAGCGTCAAACAGTATGGTATTCTGTCGTTCCAAGCGGACACATGATTTATGATTCTCTGTCGAGCTACTCGAAAATTATTCAGTAGCTTGAGCGTTATGTTAACGACCGTGGCGCGGCTGCGGACTATATTCGCTTAGGCATTTCCTCCCGCTAAATAATGCACATTTTGACATGATCAATGAAAATACACAACTGCTGTCTGGATTTGTAAAATTTTTAGTTTATTTTATGAATTTTACTCATTGTTCCATCGCTTTATGGGACTCCGAGTACAACTTGGAAGTGCGCGTCGGGATCGATACACAAATGGGCAATCTGCACAGTTTGGTAGAACCAGACCGATAGAAATTATGTTAATAAAACACGAACAAGAGGGGATAACGTAGCTTTGTTTTTTCTTCAGACCATCGTTACAGAAGACATTCTTTGATAAGCTGAATATAGCACCCTATCGTTAACCAATCGAACCCGTGTTCTAACTGCAAGGATTCGCGCATGCAATGGGCAGTTCACCAACGAGAATCAGATTGTGAAAATCTCGGTAGCTTGGCAGATAAGCCGTTGACCGTGTCCTTTGGATGTGAGCCTCAAAAGCCACATCCAACATAGCTACTGATCTCTGTCATACTGGAACATGATAACTGTGATGATAGAAAAGGGAGGGCATGTTAAACTATACTGCAGCACATTTCGCTTGGAATATTCTTCAGTTCACTGCGGTTCATACTCACGTCCGTTCGGCTGTAGTACGCTTTCGATGCCTAGCTGCCATGCCACACGAAGGAGGGGATCCTGCCAGGTCACCCAAGCCTAGACAGGGGAGGCAGAGGTCGGGTTCGAACCACGGACCTTCCGGTCAATGAATTCGGACTCTAACCACTTGGTCCACCTCTTTGGATTGACCGTCGCGGTATTGCTCTGGGATTGTGGAAATCATGCCGCTGCCAAATACAAAGAGGCCATTTCTCATCCATGCACACGCATACGTCCCGTCCAGATTCGACATATTCACATTTGCCCCATCTGATCAATGATGTTATGACACCGCGATATCCGGGGCGAGATGGCTCAAGTGCTTAGAGCCCCAATTTACTGACCGGAAGGCCCGTGGTTTGACCCCGACCTCTGCCTCTCGACTTCCCCTGTCTG